TTTGCAGGGCAAGGAAAAGAGTACAGCGGAGTACAACATTGAACAGTCTGCTTTGAAATGCGGTGTAATGTTAGTTTCATTCTCTTTAGTGTATGTGTGCATGTGCGAACGCAGAGCACCAGTGCTCAGCGTTGAAAGTACGTCTTCGTCTTGCTCATTCATATGCGTGACATTATACTATATTTTCGTGATTTTGTCTTCTTTCCTTTTGTTTTTATAGTGTATCATATACTGAATTACGCTTACATGCATGGCCTCTTTTTTAAAAGCCGTACGCGTCAAGTACAAACTCGGGTTCAAACACTTGGAGCTCTATATATATATATATATATATATATATATATGTTGGATTCCTTGTTCACGCTTGGTCATGGTGGCGGTAGAAAACATTTTTATTTCTGAACATTAATCAGAGAGTTGCGGCACTGCATGCTTGGTTCGTGCCGTACATTGATCGCGCCGTTATGTACAGTAGAGCTCAGCTCATCACCTAGAATTTTCGGTGAGCTCGCGCGCACCGAAGACCTATATAAGCCACAGTTTCCAAATGGGTGTTTTACACAACGAAATTTCAGTAGAAGTTAATTGTTTTACGTATAGAACGAAGACTTTTTTTCTGGAGGGCCCACCGCTCAGCCAGCACTCTGGTGATCCTGCTCGCAGAACGGATGATAAACGACAGACTAGTAAATAAAAGACAGGACAAATATAAAAATACATGGACACACAGACACATCCGTGTCTACATCTTTTCATCGCATCGCATCGCCCGTGAAGTTTGTTTACATATTGCACAAAGGCGCTATATGTAGCGAATTTTCAGGCGATAATAAGACATCTTGTATATATAGTATGGTAAACGTTGTTTATTGCTCCTCATCTTACTTAGCCTCGAACAAAGCGTATTAGTATATGAAGGAAGCATGCAGTACGGCGCTGTTTCGCAGCTGTTGTCCGCAGATTTATAGGCTGACGCCAGTCTAGATATAGATTAATTATGCAAAGGCGTTGTGTCGCAGTTGCTGAATGTTAAATGTTCTCATTTAAGGAATATCCACCGGACCATACATCCTACCGCTCCCGTTTTTTGCGTTTTCATCACTTTATTTTTACGCAAGGGCTGTCCACATAGGCCAATTTATGTGTATCTTATCCGCCTTGTGTTTTGCTATGGTGGCGCCACTGCTCGTCTTGCCGCTCGTATAGTGCGGAGAAAGCGGTTGCAGACTCTCCCAACTCCTATAGAATTCCATGCATTCCGAATTAAATTTGCGCATTCATTGTAAAAAAAAACAAACGAGCACCATTTCTCGCAGGTTTCTCACACCAACGAGACTGTTTCGCCTTTATGCCCTTGGCATGCTCCAAGTTAATCCTTCTTTCCACTTTTTAAAATTTATTTTGCTTAACGTCGGACCGCGTGCTTTGCAGGTGGCAGCCGTAAGGTGCGGCAACTAGTTGGCATCGAGGCACCCTAACGGCAGCGTTCCCAACAAGACCGGCGGCTCGTCGCTTTCGTCGCGGTCGCGTCCTTCTTGGACATTGCAACGTTGAAATTGCCTAAAGGTCGAGGCCACACATTGGAATATGAGCCCTGATTTCGCTCAGCTGCCATTGCATCCACGGAAACGCTTCAGATTCCGACGTGCACTTTTGTTCGTTGGTCGCTGTGCAAGATGTCCTCCTACAAGACCGCGGTTTTTCTTGTCAGTCAGCTGTGTGTGTAGCTTTCGGCGTCGTGGCAGTTTGTTGACCCGACGAGGAAAACAGGCGCTACATCTTGGGTACCGCTCGTATGACGGCAACTTTTGAGATGTTACTGTACGCGCACGATTGTGCTACAATTTAAACACCACGCTCGGCCTTGTGCGTCTACTTGACACCAGTGTGCGGTAACAAGTGCGTTGTTATCATTGTTGTGTTGGTAAGTGTTGAGTTGCAGGTTGAATACTTTGTTTTTTCAAAAGTGAGTGAGCCTGTAAGTCGCTCTTCTAGATGCTCGCTATTCCACCAAACATTAATTCTGGAATCGCGTGTTATGTGGATTTTCACCTACCAGAGGAGAATCTAGCATACGATGCGTACATACTTCGCGCGTGCGCATTTCCTATTTATATCTGAGTCATTCCACGCGTGCGAACTTCCTGCACAAGCCTCAGTTTTTTGTGCTTAATTTGAAAGGCATTTGATGGAGAACTGTGGCTTCAGCAGTGTTATTGATGGGATATTCAGAAGTACGTGATCGTACTACAGTTTGAAGTTCTGCATAATGTTTCTATGGTCTGTGAAATAAAAAAATGTGAATGTTCGTTACTCATATTCTCTAGCGCTGTCATACATTATTATGCATCTGTGACGCATGTTAAAACGTTGCGTAGCTTTCCCTTTGTTGTTCTTATTCACAGTTAGCTCGGTCAAGGTGAAAGTGCTGGACGAAGCTGAAAATGTGTCTTTTGTGCGTTTCTTAAGCATGCATAATACCATGATCTGCATTGTTGTTGGACTGTTCAGGTTGTTCAATGAAACGAGAAAGCATTTCTGCGTTGCAACAGCTTTTGTTTCGCTTGTGTTAGCTGGTCACGCAAACATATTCAACGCATGCACGTTAGAAACGCATGCATCGCACAGCGCTCGCGCACAGTAATAAAAAACAACCCCGTAATTTTCAAACAAATATAAGAGAACCATCGACGTAACAAACGTCATGGCTGTCTAGTGGAGCAGTGACGGCAGCGAAAATATTAAATCAGGACATAAAGTGAATTTAAAAAAAAAGTACGGTTAGTATAGTGGGCACTTTGCGCAAAGTTAAGCAGCGCGATCCGCTTTTCGCCACCATTCGCTGTTGGTGGCGCCAACGGTACCACTCAAAGCAGCAGCAGCGCATGAGGCGGATTATCGTTGGAAGTGTCGCCACAAGATCTAAGATATCAGTGCTAAACGCCCTGATCAACATATTGGACACCAGAGTGACACATATCATACAAGATGGTGTGTTTTTCACTTTCTTATCAGAGATTGCCATGGGCGTATAGCCAAGTCCTTCTTTTAGGAACACGCGACGTATGAGATAACCTTCGCTTGTTTACTCAAACCATACTTCGAAGCATACTTGTGCCAATTAGGTTTTCTGTTCTTCAATAAAAGCAGGTGATACCTTTAATATACACAGATAACGGCGATGATCTTAATTTCTAACTGTCCCCTGAAAAATAGCGAAGGGACTTTCTTGTTTAAGAGAACCCACGATGACTGTCCAGACTCAGTATACGAGCAAACTGTGGGTCCACCGTGTTGTTGTTTTTTTTCTTTTTTTTTAACTGGATGCTTGATAGATTGCTATCTTTTTTTTCGCACTTCAGAATACGACGCGAAGAGCTCGTGATGCTGTCTTTCCAACTCCCGGCTCTACGAAGACGTGCAACGCACTTGTTTCAAAAATAATGAAAGTGGAGTGCACCTTTCGCAAGTTATTCATAGTTCAGCAGTCTGGCATAAAATTTATAGTTTGGAATGACCTTGCGGAATGAATTGTTTCGAGTACTGCTATACGAACGTGTGCTTTTTACTCTATTTGGAAATGTAAGCCATCAAATAGCATACTCTTTAGTCGTGTAGATATCGTTGCATTTTGCATGTGTCCTCATTCCTGTGAAACACGAAGTTACAGCTGGAACATGGATAAATTCAACGGAGAACTAAGAAAAAAGTCCCCGCAGTATAGAAAAAAATTGTACCATCGCCTGCTAAAGGGAACCGTGTCTAGAAGCGAAGCAGCGGGTGCTTACGCTTACACTGGCGGTTGTGTTGACGCTGGCAGTCATCGGGACGTTGCGCAGGAGAGAAACCTGGGGAGGCGCAAAGTTCGCAGTAATGTACCGATGTTTCCTACTGGAACATGCCAATCGCTGCTAATAGGTAATCCGACGCAGAATACTCCAATTGGATATAGAGACCCGCAGTCCGCTTTTACTTAACACGCACGCTATGAACTCTTATTGTTCAACAACGTACAGCAGAAATCTCCCACCGGCACTACCTTGGAGGTCAATCCAAGAGATAAATAAATAAAAGAAAGAGAAAGGGAGGTTAACCTAGAAGAACTGGTTTGCTACTTTGTACAGTGGTAGGGAAGTAAGGGTTGAAAATAGGATGCAGATAGACGTATATTAAATAAATTAGGAAGAAAATTACTTATGCACACACACGCAGGCCCTTCTGATCGCAGTCGTTTGGAGAGGCCGGTTGAACGCAAGAAGTGCAGGAGCACCTTCACAGTCTTCTTCTGTGACATAACGTCCTGTCGGTAGCGCAGCATTTTTTCTTCCGAAAGAGTCTGGTTGTCTAGTTCGTCTAGTGCATTGGAGAGTGACTGTCTCCGCGAGCAGTATTGTGGGCATTCACGCAGAATATGCCTAGTTGTTTCGTCACTGCCGCAATGGTTACATGCAGCAGTGTCAAGATTCAGTGCATATATATACGGGTGGCCAGTGACCGGTCTTGCAGCTCGAGAATTCGTTTTTTCTTAATCAAGAAGAACGCTAACAGATGCTGCCTGCGTCGGCGTAGCGAGGTGAGAGGGGGAGCGTATATGAGAAGAGAGAGGGGGAGCGAGAGTAGGTTAGCAGGCTAGAGAGGAGGAGCGGACATGCATGCGCAGTAAGGGCGTTCACTTTGTATGCAGGATTGAGCTCGACCCTAACCTCCTTTGCATCTAAAACATGAAAATAATACGTAATTGCTAGCCTGGTACGTGAATTTTACTTCTGACTTTAATGGGAACAGGATCAAGTAATCCCTAAGGGAGGCAGCTGATGGTGCCTTAACACTTCCTTTTCACTTTTCTTGAACCATTGGTGCCCTTGAGCGTCCTTTCACCACACTTGTTTTGTGTTTCGAAATTCTGCACTTTTCTTTCAGACCTTTTATAGCCACCTCCCTCCCCTTAATCTAGCGCAGGGCTTCATTGTTAAAACATTTTTGCTTTCATTGCAGACATACACCTATGAAGTCGTCAATTGATACCCAGGCGATGGACCATGCAGGTGCCTGCAGTTCTGAATTTTTCTATCCACCCGAGTGCCTGCTTCCAGCGTCCGAAAGCTTCCGGCACTGTCTCTCGTCGACAGAACGAGTGGACTCTCTCTCTTATCCACTCGGCTCCTACTACCGCCCAGAAGTCGGCGCTCTCTCTGAAATCACGAGTCTGGCTGTCGCCGAAGGGGCCATGAAGCCTCCGTACTCGTACATCGCTCTTATCACGATGGCCATTCGCAGCACTCCTGAGCAGAAGATAACGCTCAGTGGCATCTACAAGTTCATCATGGACCGGTTTCCCTTCTATCACCACAACAAGCAAGGCTGGCAGAATTCCATCAGACACAACTTGTCCCTCAACGACTGCTTCGTCAAACTGCCGCGCGAGAAGGGCAAACCAGGAAAGGGTCATTACTGGACGTTGGGCGCCAACTGCGAGTCCATGTTCGAGAACGGAAACTTCAGGCGCAGGAAACGCAGGAAGAAACAGCCCGCGATTGATATGGATCACCCGGCCGAGGTCACCTTTACTAAGCATGAACGACTCTTCGCCGCCGCAGCAGCAGCCGCCGTGGCGGGGCGACCGTACCACGAGCTTGACCTGTCAACACCCGTCAGATTGCCGCTACCGACTAGCGCGCTGCGGTCTCCCGAGATGCTCGCGCGGCCTGAACTTGGCCCACCGGCGACGCCCGCAGACACGGCGAAAGCTGACGGACGGCTCAACAGCTCTTTTACCATTGATAGTATCATGAGGCGGCCCTCGAGAGCAACGTCGAATCGAACGGAAATGGGTGCGCCGCTGCTACACGTACCGCGACTGGGCGCCGGCTGCGGGGGAAGCACGTTGTTCGACCGTTTGCCCTCTTTCTCGTTACCGATGTATTTAGAAAAAAGCTGGTTGACGTCGGAGCGCTTTGGTCAAATGCAAGAACAGCAGCCTGGCGTTTCCTTGTTCTCTCCTCTGAGTAGGTACGAGGTGCTCCCGAGTTGCAAGCGCTCACTCGTCTCAGCTGACACGGAGGCGACCTTCAATGCCTTCCCGCCGCTACTGAAGGTCGAACTTGGTGAAGAAAGGACTCCCACGCCGTGACGTGCACGGAGTTTGTGCATTTATAATATGCGCTTTTCATTATGATGTGATTTATTTATGATATATTCCTGAAGGTGTGTCTTCAACCAGAATAAAGGTAACTGACGCGTAGTCGGATCCTGAACAATCAGTATCAGTCGCTCCAACGAGAGGCACCGCAAGTTTTAGAACCAGGCTTGCATTCAAAATCAATTAAAGCACACAAGAAGAAACGACAGATATAGCCCATCATAATAAAAGAAAGAATGCAATCCAATTTATTTGAAGTGGCAATAAATTGATTTTTTGTATTTGTCTCAGCCACTATATGTGGGTATACCACTACACCCCTAGCTATCGAAGAGCTTCGCCCAGTCTGCCCCACACAAGAGTCCTTTGATACTTTTTACGGTCTCTAATCTGTCACCTCAGAATCACATGAAGTCAGCGGCTGAAGGCGCAGTAGTGCAGGAGAAAACACGCGAACACAGCTATCGTTGTGGTTGCACGTGGCACAGACTTTGTGTTCTAGCTTTCTTAACCTCCGCCATGGCCGCTTTACTTTCACGTTGCTACTTTCAACGCACAATATGCGTAAATGAGTGCCTGAGTGGGCCGTAAATCTTGGAATGAGCACGCAGGCGAAAAGAGTAGCCGTACAAAACGAGCAGCTTGCAGGGGTCTCGGCCCAAAATACTAAAAAATTCTGGATTTGAAGCGACATGGAAGAATGATAACATCATCCTAATCCTTTAGAAAGGGGACGACAAGAACATGAAGAATTACAGGCCGACCAGCTTGCTCTCCATTGTGTACAAGCTACTTACAAGGGTAATTGATAAGAGAATTAAGACATATAACAGAATTATAATTGATTCTGCTAACAGAATTAGAATTATATCATCAACCAAAGAATGAAGGAGGATTTCGTACAGTACTCAACAATCGACCACATTCATGCTATCAATCAGGGGATAGAAAAATGCTCAAAATACACCCTACCACAATATATATATATATATATATATATATATATATATATATATATATATATATATATATATATATATATATATATATATATATATATATATATATATATATATATATATATATATATATATATATATATATATATATATATATATATATATATATATATGATTCAGTTCAGTTCATAAAGATATCAGCAGTCATGCAGACACAGCTGAATCAGGGCGTCGACGAAGCATATTGCGGATGATGAACTGCCATTATGGTGCTCCATAAAAAAAGCAACGTAATACCAATATATAGAAGGTTGTAAGACAAGCAGACACAATCTCCCCAGTGCTATTTAGCGCGTGCTTAGAGGAGCTTTTCAGAGGCCTAGAATTGGAAGAGTTATAGACACGGGTTAATGGAGAGTACCTTAGTAACCTGCACTTCACTGATGACATTGCATTACTGAGTAACTCAGGGAACGAATCTCAATTCGTGATTACTGAATTGGAAAAAAAAGATCAGGAAGGTAGTTCTTGAAATTAGTCTGAAGGAAACGAAACTAATGTACAACAACCTCGGAAGAGGACAGCGCTTCGAGTTAAGTAGCAGCGCGCTTGAAGTTGTAAAGAAGTACGTCTACTTAGGACAGGTAGCAACCGTAGAGCTGAATCACCATAGCGAGATAACTAGAAGAATAAGGATGGGGTGGATCACAATCGGCAAGCCTATTTCACTGTTGAATGGTAGATTGCCACTATTCCTCAACAGGAAGGTATATAACAGCTGCATCTTACTCGTACTTAATTAGGGAGCAGGTACCTGGAGGATTACAAAGAGGGTTGAATTTAAGTTGAGGACGACGCATCGAGCAATGTAAAAAAAATGATAGGTGTTATTCAAGGGACACGAAGAAAGCACGGGGAATCAGGAAAAAAACGGGTGTTGACATTATAGTCCAAATGAAGAAGAAGAAATGGTCATGGGCAGGGCACGTAGCGCGAAAGCAAGATAACCGCTGGTCATTAAGTATCACAGACTGAATTCCAAGAAAAGGCAAGTGGGTGAGGGGAAGACAGAAAGCAGGTGGGCATGTGAGATTAGGAAGTTTGCGGGTATAAAGTGGCAGCAGTATAGCGTAGGACCAAGTTGACTGGTGGAACATGGGAGAGGCATTTCTCGTGCAGAAGGTGTAGTCGGGCTGATGTCGATGATGAATCATTATATCATGAGGCATGGAGAGCGGAAAGGCTTCGGATTCATTTTAGGGGCAAAGCTCTTGAAGGTGCGGGTTTGTCCATCCTCCATCGTTGTCGTACGTAGCCACCGGGATGCGAGATGGGAGATGGCGGTACTTGGAGTGTTCACTAGATAAACGCACGGACGGACGCACGGATGGTCTAGCTGACGTATGGATGGATGGATGGACGCGCAGAGCGGGTATGTGCCACAGCGGATGCGAGATGCGAGGTGGCGGTACTTGGAGCGTTCACTAGATGTACGCACGGACGGATGGACAGATGGACAGGCGCATGGATGGACGCACGGATGGTTGCGTGGACGGACGGAAGCAAGAACGAATGTACGGACGGAAGCAGAGACAGGCTGATGGACGCTTCGCCCCACTCATCATCATTCACTTCGTGGATATGCTGTGATTTTCTTTGATTACTTGAGGTTTTTAACCAAATGAAAAGGCACTTTTTATTTTTACTCCGAGTGAAATGTGGCCACCGTGGCCAGTTGAGCGCCATCAGATTCAACGCTTGTATAGGTACCATTTCTTAATGTTTTCCTAAAATTAAATACTGCACAATAGTTTTCTCCAGTGTTGACACTTACAAAGAGAGGCAAGCATTGTGTCAGCTTCACCCACATTCACCTGCAAGAAATCGTGATTTATTGATTGCGCAAATTGCTTATTGTCGATGAGTCGTTGTCAGATGCCTGTTGTCCCTAAATTTTAATTTTTCATGCATCGATTACACCATTATATTTTTTGTTTTTATGGACTGGACTAATGTGAGGTGAGAGGAAGGGCGCTGCAGTAAAACTTGGTCCACCCCTAATGTAGGTCGCCCCCCTTAGCTAAAACATGTGCACGTGCGCGTTTTCTCCCGCTTTTTTGTTCTTGATGTAAATAGTCCTAAATGTATTTTCCCTTTCATTTTTGTTGGTTTACTAGGTTGAAGTGACGGCACCAGTGAAAAAAGGTAGAATGACCCTCTCGAACTTGGAGGGGGACGTAAGTAGGGCTGTAATCACAAAATGACGTCTGAACACATCACAGAATGAGTAAATGTTACATATCACCCAATAGTTCGTTGAGACAAACTTATTTGAGTTTCTTTTTATTTTCCGTCTTATTGCTGAACACAAGTTACACACTTCGAATCAGAACTGAGAGGAGAGATGACGGCGAATGATAATTGGCTGGGCCAAACTCTCCACCTGTCAACTGGCCATCTATTGCACTACTGCAGCAGGTGCAGTAGAGAGGCAGAGATGAAATAAGAGAGCTGTACATGTTTATAACAAGAAAGCAATAGAAAGCACACTCAAAACATACGAAAATACGACATGAAGCTGAAATCCAGCATTATTCTCACAAGCACATTTGTACACTGCGCAAAACGTGATTTGGGTTCACGTTAAAGAACCCCAGGTGGTCAAAATATCTGAAGCCCTCCAGCACCACGTCTCTCATAACCATATGGTGGTTTTGGGACGTTAAACTCCACAAATCAATCAATCATTTTTGCGCAAAAGCAACGTCAGCACGCAGTCATGGTCTCCATCAAACATCTTGTTGCGCATGCTTCAAGGGTCACTCAAAATAACACTTCAAGTTGTAAATTGTCTGCAAATGCAAATAAAGTGGCACTACGTCGTTTTACTTGGATCATACTTGAGTCTGTTATTGTGTATTGAGGCGCTTGGCGCATACGGTACGAATAGGGTGCCAGCTTTCTCCATTCTTTCCTCGCGGCAGCTAACGCCTTCTGCTGCTGTGTGAGACGCCTCGCACAAAACTGATTACAACAGTGGGTGAGTTCTACGTTAATAATAGTTGCAATATCAGTTAATTATAGCTGTCCGCCTCATTGGTACAGTAGTTATGGTGCTAGACTGCTGATTTGAAAGCCGTGGTTTCGATCCAGCTGCGGTGGTCGCATTTCGATAAAGTCAAAATTGTAGATGCCCTTGAACTGTGCTATGTTAGTGGATGTTAGAGGGGCCCTGCAACACCTTTATACGTAGCCGTAAAATTGCTTTATTAAACGAGCCAATTTCCTCACTAATCGACCATCGCAAAACGTTTGTGCATCCATCCGCTACGAGCAGTATTATAAATATGTGTCGCATGCTGTAAAGGCTTTTTATCTCATCTCGTCGCGACGAAAGCGCTGAGAGCTAAGCAGTGGGAGATATGACACGATGGAAGAAAGTAAGTCACGCGCGCTTCGTGAGCTTGAAAGCTTTAAGGGAGGAGCTCCTAAAGGCCAAACTGCATAGCCAAGCCTTGTTGACCATTACGCTTCATTAGATCAAAACTGAAACTGAACACTTGCAATACAAAAACATCTGTGTAAAAAACGGACTTCATCTGTGCATAAAGTATATGACAGCACAATACATGATCACCTGTGCCGTCCATCTGCCCATCCATCCGTGAATTTGTGTCCGTCCGTCAGTAGGTCCGTCCGTCCGTGCGTGCGTCCATGCGTCCATCCGTCCATCTATCCGTCAAAGCTCTTCTGTTAAAATACATAGCACCAATATGCTTGTCTAATGAGAGAAGCCTTTTATACAAAGTCTGAATTTGTCCCTACATTTGTTACGGCTTGAGGCTTCATAATGCAGGGCATCAAAGGGTGTTCTCTATCTTCGGTTACTGAAAATGGCACACTTTCAGACCGACCTGTTTCATACGTTTTATGTGCACATTGCATGCCCGTAATCTATGTAATCTGTACATTATCATTGTGTGTGTGTACTGTTGACTGTTTATTTTTATTATTATAATATTCATCATAATTTCTTGGAAAAAAAATGGTTCCAAACCTGCATGTTACACCGCAAATGTCGTCGAAAGACGATAGTCTTGCGTCTGGAGAGAGTGAAGAAAACGTTTATTCGATGTTCTGCGCAAGAAAATCAGTGAATGGTATTCTGCAGGCGCTGCGTTATATTGCCTCGAGCGTGTAGCGGAGGTGAACGAGCGCGTCGAGGCACGTTAGACACAAGTGCCTTCTGGCAGTTATCTTCAAAAATGAAGGCGTGCAGCCCGCGGAGAAAGATGCGCGCCAGCCTCGGAGGTGATGAATTGTAGA